AACAAGGGGGTATAATAGCGGTGAGTTTGTGAATAGTAAAACGGCTCAGCGAAAAGGTGTTAAAATAGATAATTTTCGCATGGATGCTGAGATTAGCTCTGTCAGCCGCTGCTAGCCTTGTGCGAAACTTAGCAATCTGCTTGGACAAAAGGGCAACCATAGATGGTTGCATTTGAACTTTAATCATGACGTCACTCGTGAGGTGGCATGTCCACCCTGTGTGTAATGTGAGTCCTAGATTGACCGTAGAGGGCACAATACATTGGCCACCGAGTCCTGCCTGATCAAGACGATATAGTTGACATGAGGAATACTCCGCATTGGTGAGCAGTTGCGTCTTTGACCGACATTGGCATGGGCTAGCGGCTAACCGGCAGAGTAGGGGGTGACCTTCTACTGGTAGCACTGGGATTTCTGTGGAAGACATGTGTATGCAATGGTCACCATGTCTAAGGACAAAGTGACGTGCATAGCTGGGGACATGTTGGAGGGCTGCGCTGCATGTGGGTTGTCCTTTCTCATGGATTGGGGTTACATGTTTCCACACATCTACAGCTTTGAGCAAAGTGTTTTCCGCGAGGGCTTGACTGGAGAAGCCAACTTGCCAGCAGTCATGTATATCCATGACAATGCCAGCTGTCTTCCACGCCATGACATATTTGAAAACCTCTTCTATCCACTGAGGTTCAGCTTGGTGACCTACTATAGTAGTATCATCAACGTAGCCGGCGACTACAAAAACCCGTGGGATTTGATTCAGCACAACAAAGATTGGATCCATGGCCAGGCAAAAGAAATAGACCGAGGTGGATCGCCCCACGTCGACGCCTGAGTGAACATTCCGCGCAGGCAATAGATAGTCGTCCCTGGACCTTATGTCTGATGCGTCTGCCAAAAAGCAGATATCGTGCTAGCTGAAGGACCCATGGGGTGCACTGACGAATGCGAAGGATGTGAAGTATCCAGTGTGCATTTATACGCTCAAAAGCCTTGGAGAGGTCAGCAAAGAGCGCTGAGGCAGGTGTGGATCCTTCTAAGGCTCCTTGAACTTCAAGTACTGCCCTCTAAAATTCTCGGAAGGAGTTTAACAGGGTTTGTGCCGGATGGAAGCTGTGTCGCGTGATACGAAAGAGGATGGCAGCAGCTGTGCCATCTTGCAGCCTGTCCAAAGTATCCGGCATTCCTAGCGGACGAAAGAAGTCTGCAGTGGGCCCCTGTTTTGCTTTTGGATCCAAACTCCGACCTGAGTGGGTGGCACTAGTGTACCAGACAAAATGTGATGAAAATCATCACTCAGAATCATAGCTCTCTGCTGTGGAAACAACCGCCACAGGGCATAGGGGAGTCCATCAGGTCCTGGCGCCGAATCCTTGGTGAGCAGGAGATGCTCAATGTAGTCTTGTTCCGTGGGTTCTGGGATGTGCGGCCATGTGGAAGTACACCGTCGGTAAGCCGAAAGCGTACTATGCCATTCACTGTCATACTTGACGGGGTGAGCAAACCAGAAGTCTCTTGTTGCAAGCATGGCTTCGTCATATTCTAGTGCGGTTCGGCACTCTTGCCCATTTTGTTGTAATAACGGGCCATGGTAGAAAGCGCCCCTGGGACAGACCGTCTTGAGTCTATCCCAGAACAGTTTTTGTCTTTGTGTTCTCTGGATAGGATGTGTGCTTTCAGTACCAAATGGCAAATGTACATTCGCCGCTGCTGCAACCTCAGCAGCTTGCAGTGCAGCCGCTATGACAGTTGTTGGGATTAGTAGGCAACCCTGCTGCATTTGCCACGGTTGAAGGAGTTCTGTGGCAGCACTTTGCTCATACAGCTGACGTACTTCTTCACGTTGTATGTGCAAGTAGGTTTGCTCTTTGCCAAGTAGCTTGTAAAGTCGTTTTAGGGCGATAACCGTTTGAAGTGGCAGGAGTGACTTCTCCACCAACTCCAAACAATGGCGCGACAGTGTTGCGAGAGCACTGTGCAGGCAAGTTTGGTTTCTTGCGCCAAGGAAACCTTGCGCTTAAGGGCAAATAAGGAAGCTTGTCTGGCAAGGTTTTGCGGCCCATCAGAGGAAGCTGTAGGATCTAAAAATACTTGTGTCGGAATAGTGTGATGTTTTTCTGACTGTGGATGTGGTCTGAAGCGAGGCTTCATTTTTAGCCGCAGCATCAAAGCTTTGTGGTGGCAGGTATCAATTCGATATCTGCCATAGATACGCGCAAAAAGCTGCGTTGTGTCAAGGAAGAAGCTAGGGACCAAGAAGCGGTCCAGGGCAGACTCTTGTTCCTGAAATTTATAGGTGGGAAGCTCAGGGTCAACATCAGTTAATCCTGCTTGTACCAGAAAATCATCCCACGTTTGGAAATGGTGCTGATCAGTACGATTAAAATCACCTCCAACAAAGACAGGGTGATCATCCAGCGTAAGGATGGCTTGCAGCATGGTTGTTACAAAGGATTTCGAGCTGCTTGGAGGTATATATGCCGAGACAAGCCAGATCGTACAGGCTTGATATTCCACACAGGCAGCAATAGCATAGTGCTTCACCAGCGCCCGCTCCTCTTTGACTTTCCATCCTGGAGGAAATAGGATTGCAACCCCTGCTTGTTCCCCGGGATTTTTTTTGGCCACATTGGCAACAATCCGTATTTCAGGCCATGAATGCAAAAGGTATTGAAAATTAGCCTGATTCCATTTAGTCTCCTGTAGTAAGACAGGTGCAATCTTAAGCATGGTTCTGATAACCCACGTTTTGTGCACATTGGTGGGTAATTCAGGAGACCAGCTGTTGAGGTTCCATGAGTGTGTTCCTTTAATGGAGATTGGCAGGTTGCTTTTTTTTTGCACGAGTCATGGCGCTAAATGGAGATTGGCAGGTTGCTGGGACGCTGCAGACGGAACTGTAAGATGCCTTGGCAGAGCTGCCAAAATTGAAGAGGGACACATCGTAGAGATTGTGGAGCATTGGGCAGGACTAAAGGGGCCTCCCCATGGTTCAAAACCACAAAGTGCTAACAGATCTTCAATGTGTATCCGCCTATACGGCAAACGTGGATGAACAAAATGGATGAGAAAGTGGAGTGAGAAGACATGTGTGAGTGACTGGTTGTTGGACTGCTGAGTGTCACACCAATGGATTGCGTCTGAGGGATGAAAGAACACGGCGGGTGGCCTTGCCCAACAAAGGCAAACAGTTCTGCGAGTGGCGCAGCGAAGGCCAATTTGTAGCAGGTCTCCTATGAGGTCTGGGGGCACCTCATCTGGGATATGACCAAAATAGGTTCCCCGCAGCGCTTTCTCTGCAATCCGCCTCCAAAGAGCTGTGCGGATATCGGTTCACTTGTTTGTACGAGATAGACAGCCTTGCCATTGGCCACTCGCGGGGCAGGTCGCTGCAGATTTGCATGGACGGCAATGCAATCTGCAGCTGAACTGCTTGGAGTCGCAGACAACTTTGTCAGGCAGTCTTACCTGTGGTGTGTTCACTTGCATGTCTGACATCTGACACATGAGAAAATGCACGCGGCAGTACTTGGTCAGTGCCATTGGAAGAGACAACAATTGCTTCTGGGGAGGCCCACTTTGGCAACCCTGGAATCCACTGCGTTACCAAGGACCAAACAACATGCAACAGACTCACACAGAGCCAACCTCTTCACGTTAACCCAAACCAACAAACGACAAGCAACTGACCAACCAACACTGGGCGTTGTTGTCACCATGCCAGAAAATCTTGTCCATTGGCGGCCCCAAAATCAAGGGCCAAAAAACGCAATCAACTGTGGAGGCCATCCACGGCGAGACCGGTTTTGCTAGGGTTTTTGGACACCAAAATGAAGGCCACAAATTCCGCCGAACGCAATTCATCTTTGGATTCGTCAATGGCCAAGCCCACGCCCAAGCATTTGTTGAGAATGGTTGAGCGCGAAGTGCACTTCGAATGCCTTGGGGTGTGAAAAGTGGCGTACAGCGCACGTGTACAGCGTTTGGCTCACCTAGTGCTTGCTTCTTTGGGGAATTTTCGTTTTTGGAGTGCTTGGGGTTGGAGCTGAGTGAAGGTCTGTTCAGCGCTTGGTTTTGGGGCGACAAGATTTTCGCACGCGTCGTGATCCGCCTAGCCGCTTCACATTGTTCCTGATGGATCTAGGAGCTTACTCAGTTCAGCCTCGGTGACCTGCAATGCGACCTTATCCTCAGGACTCCAACTCGGCCACCATGGAATGACCTGCTCAACCGTGCGAAAATCCATGTCTCGGAAGGTTCGATATGTCCTGCGGCTGGTAAGGACAAAAGGTGAGCAGAGCCCACCAGCGTGTGCGTCGACAAGCCCCAGCACGATCGAGGGACAATGTGGTTTGGCTAACATCTAAATGCATGTGTGCGGCGAGTTGCCGAATGCCGTCTTGAATGAACGGCGCGTGCGAGGCATTTGGAACACACTCCAGTAATCTCCAGTACTAGGGCGGCGCCTTGCTGTTCCCACATGAGCTTCAAGACTTCATAGAAGACATCCGATCCAGGGTCCCGGGCGGTGGCCTGAGAAAGCACACTCGAAAGTAAAAACGCTGGCTTTTGATTTGCAGCTTCTCAGGTGTTTTGCAATGTCACAAGCCGCTGACGGAATCCCCATATCAACTGATGTTGCACCAAAACTGGAGTTGATTGAGGATTTCAGGTTATGCGAAAGAGTTCTTCATGGGTATATTGTTGCCTTGACATGCAGTTTGAAAACAAAATTGTGTGTTTTGTTGCTGCCATGGGCTCAGCCCGTGGCATGAAGTTCCATGAAACATAAACAAATGCAAATTTCATCGTTTAAGACTACAGGCAAAGTGTGCAGATCGCAACAATGGCCATTCTTGTTGCAACATTTAAAGTATTGAGGCTTACCGAGGTAAATTTGAAGGCTACAAACTAGTGACATGTACTGGGAGTGAATTGACATGCACTTGAGAAAATTGTGTTCAGTTTCAAATCATATTTCCTTGCAAGTCTCGTTTGAAATCATTTTTTTCGACTTTGCTGGTTGCTTGTTTTTGGAGCTGTCGCCCACCATGCGCAAAGTGCGGTGGAGACTGGCAGTGATGGAAGGAAACTACGAGGGGCTATGAGGCAGTTCGTTAAACCCTTCGCCGCACATGCGAATTTTGTTGCTTGCGTGGTGTAAATTTATGTCTGCGTGATTTTGTTATTGGTTGCTTTCAGCTCATGGCACCCAAAACGACTTGCAGGCCCCATGATGCACATGCACCACCTCCGCCATCGGGCCTGCCGCCACCACGACCCCCTGGCCACGGCCAGGTGGGAAATTGTTGGAAGACGACTTGAAAAGGATGGCTTAAAGGGGTTTGGTTGAAACACGGATCATCAATCCTTGTTGGAACATGCTCGCGGCTGCATTTTCGCATCGTTTTTGTCAGGAACGGCACCGCTTCCCGTCAAAGGTGAGATCCTTGAGTGAAGGTCCTGCTGATGGGCGTGCCTCCAGAGAGCTAGGTGAAGAGGCAGGTAACTTTCAAGCAAAGGATAAAATAAAACCTTCAAAACTTGGTTTGGTTGCATTTGTTTCAATTGCTGCCCGCTGGCTGCTAGGAGGAGGGCTCCTCCTCCAAGCCTGGGGGCCACAATATTCTGGTTGCCGTGCGCAGCCGTGCATTGCTGCCACAGGAACGCTCTGCTGGAGGCCTTCATCAATTGTTGGAGTCAGAGATGGGGGAATCCTTTGATTGTGGAAGATCAGAAAACTCAGAGGTATTATTGAAGTGAAACAAAATCTTGCAGTTTGCACAGGCCACGCTATCATCACCATTTGCAATGGCACAACGGTGATTTTGGAAGATCCCCACACAACAGCAGCTGATGACTACCTACGTGGCTTTGCATCAATGAACCGTTTGTCCTTGTAGGTTTGTGCCTTGGTTGTTGTCCAAGCCTGGACTGTCAGGTCTCAACAAGTCCAAGGAGCGCCGGTACCATTTCGACCAGGCTTTAGAGGAAACGGCCCAGAACTTGGAGGCCCGAAAACCATTTGTGCACCTTTGAAGCACATTGTCACATTGTGATTTGAAGAAAGGTTAGCTGCTGTTTGTTCTGTAGGTCTATGAGCGAACGACACGCTTTTTGATCCCAAGTGCTGGAGTCTAAGAGTCGGATGCATCTCAGCAGGTTCAAACTTTGTAAAACCAGCCAGAATGGCTAGCTGAGTCTAAGGTCATCCAGGGTTTCAATGCCACTGTCTTTGCCTACGGAGCGACAAGTGCCGGCAAAACCCATACAATGCTGGGCTATCCAGGTGAGCCAGGTATAATGCTGCTGACACTACGCGATCTCTTCAGCGAGGTGGCCAACCAGAAGAGCAACCTTCACTTTGAGATCCTTGGTAAACAATTCGCACGTGTGACACGTGCAATTTTGCAGAAATCTCTATCAACTATCGATCTATCGAGCCTATCCTTCATAAATTAAACCTCATATCAACTGATTGCATTTGTTGATTCCTTCACAGTGCTGCTCCACACCTCATGTTGAGACCCAGGATCAAATGCTCCTTCCTTGAGGTGTACAACGAGAATGCCACCCAGCAATACCGCAATCAAGATAAGTTTTCTCGGGTGCAGATGTCCTGGGTTTAAGTGAATCGGTGGTACACCTCTGCATGCGTTGTGGTTCGCGCTTAAGTCCCTGTTCACTCCTGGTTTCTTCTGATGACTTGATACTGTATTTCTTGCATCATTTTCAGTAAAGAAACATTTACGCGCATTCTACTATTTTTAAACAAGAAGGTCTCTTCAAATGTGGCAGCTCCAAAGCCACAAGTGTCGTGTTTAAATCTTTGTTGTTCATTTCCAGAACTATATATATACTGCAGAACAAAAATGCTTCCAGTCCCACAAAGGCGCTTGCAACAATGCGACAATGTCGCGATGATGCTTTGAGTCCCACCCCTGTGAGTTTTTCCCCCGGTGTGGGTAAATGCAAACACAAATATGCGATTTCACATCAGCTTGATGGCTTGAATCAACAAGGTTGTAGAAGGAATCATTGGCAGTTTGAAGCCTCCATTTGCTACTGAGAAGACTCACCGCACTTCGCTCTGTCAAGGGCTTTGGATATTTTCGAAGTTCATGTTCTAGTGGGACTTAGCAGTCCTGGATCCTCATGACTCAACTGTGCCCCGTGCAGCAGATCGTCAGATAGTCTTGTGTCAGTCGGTACACTGATATGCCAAAGTGGAGCAGTGCTGTTGTTTTGTTTTTGAGTTTTTTCCCCCCCCGCTTCCAGCAGAGTTTACCGTCTTTCCAGTGTAACGTTGACAGCAAAAGCCTGAGTTTTACCAAACGAAGCTCCCAGCGGCCTCGTTTCAACTTCAACTTGAGCTTGGCAGCTGCAAGCAGCTGTGCGAGGCACATGTTGGTGCTGAACACAAAAAGTCTTTGGATACCCAAAACAAGACTGTGCAGCTAGATTACAGTGTTGCCAGACTTGTCTTGTGGCCCGAGAGAGTAATACGACACAAAATGATAGAATGAATTGTTGTTTTTGTTTTATGTAGTTTAGTTTTTCGTTTCCCTCTGTAGCTTGGGCTGCGGTGTTTAGGTTCGAGACCTGCTTCGACCTGACAGTGACTTTCTTGACATTCGTGAAGATCCAGTGAAAGGCATGTGTGTTGCAGGCTCGAAACTTTTCCAAATTTATTGACAGTCGAACTGAAACCGTTTATGTTCTCTTAAGTGGATATAGAACTGAAGCCGTTGTGAACATGTAGTGACAATGTAGCTTGCGTTGTATTTAGCTTCAATGTATTAAGTTGAAAAGTTGTCAGAATGGGGGATCTCTAGGGACTTCCGAGGAATGGTTCTACCTCAACTGACGTGTCTGCAGCCCCGATTTCCGATCCCCTCCTGAATGTCCTCCATGCATTTTGCTGGCTTCCCTTCGAAGAGTTTAGCGCAGCAACCAGCTTTTTTGAGCTTTTTGATGCGCCGACTTCCAGACTCAGTGGATATACTGTAGTTTCGTCCTGCATGTCGTGACTCTGTCGGGACTCTCCGCATGATTGCAGCCTCAATATTCTTTTCCCCGTTGCACAAAAGCCATTGTCTGTGACTTCAGAGAGACAAGGGCAAACGCACCCAATTTTGCTGCCAGCGCACTCGAAGGATTTTCTCATGTTCTCTAGTGGCCCGCCTGAGTGGACATCCTGCGATGCAAACAGATTTAGTGAACATGTTTGCACAATTCACTTAAAGACACCCTCCCCACACACACACACACACACACCCACCCACACACACACTCTCGAGATAATGCGTACTGACACGATTGCGTTTTGCCGCACGCCAGCCTAAGTGAAAACCAAAACCAAAGGTTCCAAAAGGCGACGACATCGACGACAAGTGCATTAGCCCTTGACAGCAGCAAGACCTCTTCATCCTGAAACAGCCTCCAAGACTCTAGAATGGGATCGTGGTTACGAACGTCACAACTTGCAGGTACGTCACGGTGATCATCCGTGATATTCGCATGTACTGTGGCCGCTTCGTTGGACCATCGCGCACAGTACATGGATGGCCCCTCTGCTACAAATCAATCAACGGATTCCCTGTGATTCCTTATGTGCATCTAAGGCTGCGGCTGACCCCAATAGGAAGCTCTGACCGCTCTGGTCACCTTGTGCCATGCCAAAGTGGCGGGCAGCTTGGACCGCTCTGGTCACCAAATGGCTTGCTCGAAAGCTGCCTACTTAGATTCAATAACTCAGCCATAAGCCTCCTACGCTCGCTGCGAGCTGCTCTGTGCCCAGGCAAGGAAATCGTTGGGCACACCCCCGTTCGACAGGGTCACCCTGGGCTGACATGAAGCCAGACACACTCGAGATAATGCATACTGACACGATTGCGGTTTGCCCCACGCCAACCTACGTGAAAGACCAAAGGAGCAAGGGTGAACGTATGTAAAGGCGGTCTGAAATGAAAGTCTCAACTCCTCAAAGCTGTAGAGTTACCAAAGGTTCCAACAGGCGACGACATCCTGAAACAGCCTCCAAGACTCTAGAATGGGATCGTGGTTACGAACGTCACAACTTGCAGGTACGTCACGGTGATCATCCGTGATATCTGCATGTGCATGGATGGCCCCCCCGCTACAAATCAACGGAAGGGACTCACACACACACACACACACACACACACACACACACGCGCATGAGACAAGGGCAAATTGCACATGGGGGGCTGCCCAACCTATGGCTCAAACTGTAAAAAGAGTCCGGGCTGTCATAGAAGAGTCTTTGCAAAACTTGACCATGGACACAAGCCACTGCAGACACCGGCGATGTCTCCAAGATGTTGTGCAAATTATTGGCCTGTGTGATTGTTGACATACTGTTCAAGCAATACAAACAACTTTGAGTTCGAAGTAGGTTTAGGAGGATACATTTTCCTGCATGCCTTGAGCAACATCCAGCAGCTCTTTTGACTTAAATTCCTGCGGGAATTTTAGGAAAGTGCTGATGGCCACACAGAAATAACGCAGATGTATTTAGCTTATGGGTGCCACATCTTCACTCATGCCTGCTTTTTTTGCTGTCCACCATCAATTGTGAGAAAACACGCTTGGTGTGAAACCATCCACAGGTTTTAGTTGCTGTGATCGCTGGTCATCACCGTGTCAGGAATCAGCGAAGTAGGTGGACTGGAGAGTGCGGAGGCCGTGTTGGTATAGAGATGATGCAATTCGCTGATTTGTGCAAAAAACCTTGGGACCTTGTGCTATGATAATAACTTAAAGGCATTTTTTGTACCCCTTGACTTCTTTGGTGGAGGAAATCATGGCCTTGCTTCATCAGGGTAACAAAAACCGGACCACAGAGGCCACGGGGGCGAATGCATCTTGGCCGCAAAGTAAGATTGACGTTAAGAAAGAACACCAATGCACAGACCTTCACGAAGTCTCCTTGACTGTGTGATCACTGAACAGTGCAGGTGACCAGCTCCAGAAGTCATGCAGTTCTACAGGCAGGTGGTTGAAACTGGAAGAGAGCATCAAAGAGAGACACTAAACGGGGTGGTGGAAGTTGTTGTGCAGGTGATGGTACATCAGCGAGACAAAACAGCTGATATAGTGGCCCACGTAAATTTGGGCAAGTTGTCCATGATTGATTTGGCAGGCCGAAATGTTCGATTGCCCAACTTTGACTGTTCCAGTTCTATTGTTTGTCGTGCGTTGAAGAATCAAAATTGAATGACTTGGAGAGTGCTTCAGATTGGAAACACACATCGCACTATGTTTGCAATTCAGGGTATAGTGTGCGCTTATCAAGGTTTGGGCACATCCTTGATATAGGTGAACGAAGCAAGTCTTCCAACATAGAGTCTTTTCCAACGAGTCAAAAAAGCAGAAAGCAAGTCTTCCAGTTCAAAAACTCACATTCAATGTGGCAGGGTCTGAGCGAGCTTCGCAGACCAACAACAAAGGCCGGGTAAAACAAAAGAAAAGAACGTCTCCATACAGCGTACTTGTCCCTCACTTTGTGCTATTTTTCTTGTACTCTGGGCCATTTCTTTGTTGCTAAGGTATGCGGATGATTGAAGGGGCCAACATCAACCGTTCGTTGCTTGCTCTGGGGAACTGCATAACTGCTCTGAGCTCTGCAGTGGCTTTTGTTCCTTACAGAGCCTTTGCTGACAAGACAGCACAAAATGACACCACATGGCATGTTCGAGCTTTTGGTGTCTCATTGCCCCTATTATTCTAATTTGATGTGCTTGAACGCGTCCAACCCTTTTTGTGACAATTAAGCAGTGGACAAGGGGGATGTGAAAATTCTTGAGTGCTTGACCAGTTTTTTTTGCTCAGGAGATTCCAAGATGACAAGGCTGCTCAAGGATTCGCTTGGTGGCAACTGCCGGACAGTGATGCTTCTCAGCTTGACAGTAAGCTTCAACTTGCTCGCCGATGCTGTCGAACAAGAAATCCTGACGGCACTTTATCATAAATGATCTGTCCCAGGATCGCCAACGTCAGCCCGTGCCACATAAACTATGAAGACACACACAATACATTGCAGCTTGGTTTTATCTTGTTTCGAACCATTGGTATTGTGGATATTGTCAACCCACAGTGCAACTTGATCCTCAATTTGGTTCAGGAAATATGCCAACAGGGCCAAAAACATCAAGACAAAAGCCGTGCGCAATGTCTGAGCCTTTGCAGCGACGGAAGGAAACAAGGACGCTATATTATTCTCAGAGTAGTAATAAGGACACTACGAACGGCACAAAGGGCATCGCTAGTAACAAGGGTATCCCCATATTAGTAGCTCCTGGCCTTACTACTAGTAGCAAGAGCTACTATTATCCTCAGAGTGGCCTGAGCATTTGAGACCTGAACTTTGAAGCTTCTTTCTCCTTAGGAGCACTCTCAACCTCTCTGCCCTTAATTTCTGGTAAATGTCTGTGCTAAATGCACATACAAGCCTATCCGGCCCCCTTTTTTCCTTGATGATGTCATGCGGAGTTGGAGATTGATCTTAGGTATTGCGGTTGAGAATCTTATATATATATATAGAGTAATTTTGTAGGAAGAGCGACTTTATAGAAGCCTCAACTTGTGACCATTACTGTACTGTCAGACTTCATGATGTACATGTGTGTGTGTGCTCGATAGTTTCACTGGCTTGAATGAACTGAGAGCCTGTGCCATGTTTCGCCAAAGATGCTCAGCCGCTATTCAGGTTGTGCAGGTGAACTACCACGTGTCAAAGTACACTGAAATCATCAAAGACCTCCGAAGTGAAATTCAAGAGTTAAAAGCTGAGCTGCCACGTTTGTACGGAGTTAGGAAGGAGGAGACACATAAAAATATGAACTTTACAGTCGGGCGCCTACTTTATGGTCGGGCGCCTTTGCTCCACATGGAAGCTTGGTAGATACTGTAGGTGTTTTTAGATACATAGCGAGACAGCCATGGAGCAGTGGAGATGTGTAGATAGGGTGAGGTGTAGTGAAGCAAGCTAGCAGTTATATACTCATATATATACTCATAAATGCATACACAGCTAGAGGGGCAAAATCATAGGCAGGCGGACAGGAGGACACTGGGTGTTTTGGTCAGATGCTGAAGTGCACAACCTACCAAGAAAGTTTGAATGACTAGTATGGTTTGCTATTAGGTTGCAGGAGCCATCGCTCTTAGGTAGGAGGCCATCGCTAGTAGGTTGGAGGAGCCATCGGGCTAAAAGAAAAGGTCTAATATAGTTTGCTAGGCGAAGTTGGCAGTGCCTGAAGCCCATCCTGATATGGGGGAGGAGGAACTTGACACGAAGCAGAGTGTGAAATGGAGCGAGCCTCAGACACTGATCAAACAGGTTTGAGGGGGACTCAGCAATTGTATGTGTGTCACTTTTGAGTAAATTCTCATTGTTTGTTGTTAGATCCTTTTGTCCTTGCGGGCAACCCTAGCCTCTTTTCAAGCAAGGTTTATCATGGGCAAGCTCAGCCACATTTTGTCCACTGCTCTCCTGCCTTTGCTCAGTCAATCATCCTCTTCGACTTTCAACCTTCTCGTTCTTCAAGCGGTCATCAAGTTCGCTTTTCTTTCAACGCTTGTTTGCTCAACAAATTCTTGCACCTCCTTTGTTTTTGCTGCACAGTTGGTACTTAAGTTGCAGAAAGTGACAGAAGGCAACTGAGGCATCGGCCACGACAAACTCTTCGACACTGACATATCTTTGCTGCAGTTTTGTTGTTAAAATTTCCCTGTGCAGCAGATAATTTGAAGTGGAATCAATGAAGTGCTAGACACACAAGACTTGCAGCTGTCAGGAGGAATAATGCATCAATAATAACTTAAGTGAGGCTCTATATAATCAGAAGTGGTCAACTCATACAACGAAAGAGTATAGCATATTGCTATTTGTTTTCTTTCACCTACTACTTCAGGAAGCATGAGTTGATGCAGAACTTTGAGGCCCAATGCGACATTTCTGAATAGCTTGCGATTAAAACACTTCCGTGTTGGCAGGAGAGGGTCAGAATCAAGCGACGTCTTATCGATTTGGCACATGTTCCCAACTTAGCTTGCACGAAGGGCATTGGAGCGAAAATGATGCATTCAATGTATTCAAAGCATTCCTTCCTTGCATTTTGCCTCAAGGAGACAAAGAATCAAATGGTGCAAAAGAGCCACGCGCAGGCCGTTAGCAAAATCCAAGTGGATGAAGGGCAGGTTATGATATATCTATTGCTTGGAACAGAATAGAAGCAAAAGGATGTGGAGGACACAGACTCTTTTTAGAGCGTGTGACTCTTGTCCTTTGCCTTTGTTCCCATGACTGGATGTACATTCTGAGCCTGGTGTCTGAGGTTGGTATCAGCCAGTGGGAATCAGGTCGCCAGGCATTTGGACCTTCGGTTCGCTTCACCTGATTTCTGTCTCGAAGGAACACATAGAGAAAGAAAAAGAAACGAAGACTAACGGAAGAATCTTGAGGTCTACTACAGTCTTTTTACAAAACTGAAAAGGACAAACGACACAATAATACATCTTTTAGCAAAAAAGTCACTGCGCCAAAACCTCAGGCACAGTCAGATGCAGACATGGACGGCCAACGAACGCCTCCTAACATCAGGGAACTGCAGGTGGGTCTTGGAAAGTTTTTGTTTGCACTGTTTCCATGCTGGAGCCTTTTGTGATGCTTTTTACACTTCAAGCTTACTGATTGATGGTACATTTCATTTTGGCACTGCACTTGGTCTAAATTATATATATATATATGCTTTCTATCCCTTTAGTGATGTGAGCTTTCACCGCTCAAAGTCTTTTGGTTCGAGCGGTGGTCAATGAGCTTGACCTTTGCTCTTGATCTCCTTCGAGAGCTCCGCTGGGCGTGGCCCGTTCAGTGCAGCTCCTCTGGCCTCAGCCTTCCCTTGGTGCTCTTACTCCTCATCCTGGCTTGCTGCTTGGGCTGCATCTGTGGGGGCCTCGTGGTTTTGACTGCGCTCTCGGCTTCTTGCAGGGTGCGCTGCCGCTCTGGTCGATCCTCTTCCTCAAGGCGACACTTTGAGGCGCAGGCTAGTGCATGGGGCCTGAGCGCCAGCTGGACCAGCTAGTTGTGGAATTTGGGGATCTCAGGATCCGAGTTGAGAGAGCAGGAGGTTATCAAGCAGGCGCTGGCAGGGCCGCAGCGCCTTCTACTACAGGGTCCCCCCCCTCAGGGTGCCCTTGCAGGCCCTGCACGGGCCACAGTTGAGCAGGGCTCAACTACTTCAGCAGCGGCCTCTGATCCTGGATCTTGGGAGCCTGTTGCGGCTGGAGCTTCAGCTTTTGTGCCTCACACTCCAGAGTGGGAGAGGGCCCTGATTGCTGCCCTCACTCCGGAAGAGATCGAAGGTCTGGATTTGAGCCCCGGTCACTCATTTGCTGCCGCGCATTCGCAGCAGTAGCAACGGCTGCAGCCCACTCAGACGTCTGGGTCGAGCATTGAGAGCTGGAGTGCAAGCTAAGGAAAAGTTGGACCGTGGTCGTTGCTCAGCTGGGACTACATCCGCTTTGACCTTGCCCTCAAAGATCTACATCATCCTGGAGCCTGCCCCCAGTGGTCAGGCCGGTTGGACTCACCACTATTTGACCTTCAGAGATCAGGGGGTTGGGCGCCACGGTGACATCCACGGAGATTCCCCTCGCGTGCTGAGGCGGAGGCGTACCTCTTTGGTGTTCAGCGACCATGGCCGGCGCTCTTGCGCCGACCTTAGACGAGTTGGGACTACGTGCCCTGTGGGATTCTGTCCCTCCCTCAGGGCAGCTGCCAGCTCTTTTCTTGGTCTTGCCGGCCAAGGAAGATGGGACAGGGAGGGTTGCGGGTCACCGCTTTTTTGGTGAGGATTCGCTCTGGCGGCTTCATGGTGGTCCTACCAGACTTTGTCGAGGTCACCCAGTTTTTGAGAGAGCAGTGCACCTCCGATGGTTCAGAGGCTTGTGCCATTTACCCCACCCAGGTCCTCATGGAACCTCCACGGGGCAGAGTGCTCACAGATGGACCGTGCATTCTGGTCGATTTGGTCTGGGAGATGGTTGGCTTGTTCACACGAGCTCATCCCTTGCGCAGTTCAAGTACGTTCGAGCTCTTGAGATTCGCTCTGAACGACCAGCCTTGTCGACCTCGACGTTCAGCCCTGCAAGCGGTAGCCGAGCAATGGATTCACGAGGTCATGGACGACGATACAGCTGGAGATTATGTGACAGGACTCTCAGAAGAGGAACTCCTTGTGGAGGAAGATCCGGCCGGTGCTGGAGGAGATGGCTCAGTGCACCTCGACGCTTTGCAAAGAAGGGTGTCAGAGTTAGAAGCTTTGTTGAGGCAGCAATCACCTGCCGCCGCCGCTCCTCCGGCCAGACGTCCTGCGACTTCAGTGACACCAAGCCGAGGAGTCTTATTCGATGGAGCTCGAGCAATACCCAACACCGAGCCTCGACAGGAAGCTTTGGCCAGACTGCGAAGCTTGGCGGGACCGGGAGCGGCTCCGATGCGGTTCTGTGCACACAAGCGAGCTCAAAGGGCCCAGAGACCGGAGCAGGTTTTGGAGTCACTGCAGCAGGAGGAAGGCCTAGAGGCTTCAAGACTGGCGAGCTCGAGGAGGGCATCAGAGATCTGGAGGCTACAGTTCAGGATCCTGTCCAGCGAATGCTTCTCCTTCAGATGCAGCAGCTGACACGTCAACAGCAGCAGCAAAAGCAGCAGGGCCCGATTTCAGCCGCGCTCAGCGGTGGGGGGGGAGAGTCTTCAAGCACGGCCAGTGCAGGGATCAAAGGATGTATGGCCAGGGAGGCCTTCATTCGCCTGATGGAGGACTTGCCCAAATTCTCCTCCGTCGTGATGGCAAACGCGGCCCACGAGCTCGGGATAGAACTTTCAAGTGTGGGCCCGGGCCTCATGCGGGATTACATCGAGAAGCGCTGCCCGCTTGGAGACAATCGCCGCTTGACACAGCAAGCTTACCTTTGGGCTTTCGCCTGGGAAACCGGCTTCCGGTCCAACAACATCGAGCTCATGGCCATTGCGAGTCGGGGCTTGGTCTACATAGATCAGACAGCCATGGACTTCAACAAACAAAGTTGAGTTGGCTTCTCACGGCCCTGCCCGAGCCTCAGTACAGCATCTGTCAGAAGAACAGGCTTCCGAACACTCTGAGCCCATTCAGTCGCCTAGCCAATGCAAGCTGGGTTGGAGCCAACGTGGCATTCATGAAGGACTTAGATTTCCTCGAGTCAAAGATGAAGGCCACCTCAGGAACCATGAAAGGAGTCGAAGCTCAGGAGGACGGGCGCGAAGAGGCAGCTCCAAAGAAGCCCTGGAGGCCAAAGAAAAAAGAAGGCCAATGCTGGCGCGACCACAGAAGCGTCGACTGCCTAGATGGAGCCAAGTGCGCTCCGTCGCCCTCTCCTCTAGTCCCCTCTTTGCCGGGCTGTTCTACCTCAGGACGGGGGGTGTGTAGCCCTACTGTCTTTTCCGGTCGGGAGGCGGCTGGGGCAGCTTCGGGCGGCGTTTTCAATGGAGTGCAGAAAGAAGATAGGCAGTTCGGCTACGAGCCAAGAGACGGAAGCTGCACGGCCTCAGAGCATGAAGCTTTTTCCGGGATCCACCACCCGGGCGGTCAGTTTCCAGTTCCAATTAGGTGCACCGAGGTGGTGACAGCGATTGCTACAGCAGCGGGGTCTGGTTCGGATCTAGCTCATTTTCTCCATCGCAGCTGTCACCCTGTCCGCAATGCTTGGGCCTTGCAACCGCAAGGCGATCTCTGGCCTTGTCCCCTCCGAGGCGATGGACGGCCGACACTTCAGTTTCTCCAAATCCCAAAAGAAGGCGACGGCTTCGCCACCTCCAAGCTCGAGCTATCTGCGTCCAGAGGCTGATCATCACGATGAATTGGCTGGCCCTTGGACAATGCAGGTCTCCTCCTGACTATGCCCGTGCCGGCTTTCCTGTTTCAGCTGGCCAAGAAGCGATGATTGAGAGGCTCGAAGATTTGGTTGAGAATTATTTGGGTTTGGTGAGGTAACCCTGGATAATTTGGGTAGAGCCGGTGAGAAACTGAAGAATTTGAGTGCTGCAGCTTTTACACTCCCCAATTTTTCCAAGGAGTTTGAATTCGATGATATTGCTAGTTTTTTAAACCTCATTCAATCCTCTTTTGATTCGTACTCGCGTCCACGTAGTCGGAATAGTGACGGTTCAGAAAGAAGGAACTCTGGCAAAGGCTCTGCCCAGGACGACCAGGGTGCACGCCGCCCGCAAAAGTTGTCTTTGAACGCTTGCGCAGCCATGCCTGTCAAAGCCTCTAGAATAAAGTGGAAGCTGGCTCCGGGTTTCGATCCCCGTCCATATCTGACTGATCCAATCATTCAGCAAGCGTTCGAAGATCCTGAAGTGTTGCGACGGCCAAAGACCGACTGGCCTCGTGTTGCTAAAGCAAAAGTGCATGCGTCCAAGTCGGAGGCGCTGGCGTTGGCTGAGAAGTGGGACCAATTGGGGGCATGCAATCTGGTGTCCTGCGAAAGGGTTGATCCAGTGGAGACGGTTGGACTTTTCGCTGTCCCCAAAGACAGCGAGTTCGATCGCCTCATCTTGAACCCGAGCGTTGTGAACTCTAGGTCGTTCTCGTATTCGAACTACACCAAAACTCTTGCCCCCGGTTATGTGGTTTCTATGATTACGCTCGCCGACGACGAACAGCTTGTGATCTCCTCCGACGACTTGTGTGAATTCTATTATACCTTCAGGGTTTCTTCAAAGAGGGCTCCGCGCAATGCAATCGGTATCCGATACTCCGCTTCAGAGGGTGCTCATTTACAATGTTATGATCCTTCAGTACACTCAGGTTCATTGTATTTGTGTTTGGGTACCCTGGCCATGGGTGACGCGTTGGCGGTGGAGATCGCCCAACAATCCCACCTTAACCTGTTGCGGCTCCGGGCTGGTTGCATGCTTCCGGAAGAGCGCTTGCAATACAGACGTCCAATCCCCCGTGGTCCTTTCTACGAGTTGCTGACTATTGATGACCACATTGGCCTGCAGAAGATCAAGACGAGTGGGGATTGGAGCCTGCGTTGCAATCGTGACGAACAGGTTTTCGAGGCTGCAAACCAGGCTTACGTTGACGTTGGTCTCACAGCACACCCTGGGAAACGACAACGACGGGAACCGCACGCCGTAGTCCTGGGAGCCGAGATCGATGGTTGTCGCGGCCGTGTTTCAGCCCCAAGAGCCAGGGTCATGTTGCTGAGCTTCATCACTTCCATTGTAGTTCACAAAGGGTTCGCTAGCAAACAACTACTACAGGGGCTGTTGGGTTGCTGGACTCATATTCTCCTTTTTAGGCGGCCGATGTTCGCAGTGTTAGATGCTGTGTACACGGAGGGCGATGGTTTGAAGCAAGATGAACTTTTCAGGTTATCCCGGGCTACAAAGAACGAGTTGATGGCTTTATGTCTTCTTGCACCCGCAATACAAACCAACATGCGAACACAAGCTCATCCACAGCTCTTCATGATGGATGCTTCGCCATACGGCGCTGGGATCTGTCGGACGACGCTTTCTGCTGCAGCCACCGACGAGCTGTGGAGGCACTCGGAGCAGAGAGGGTACTATACTCGTCTACAAGAGGGCCCAGGGTTAGCTTTGCGTGAACTAGGTTTGGAACACGAGGAACAATTCGGTCAACCAGATGATGCACCTCTTGTTGCTAGTCCGCCTCGCGAACAGTTGAAGGTCAATCATACACTGAAACATGGAACAAAGGTTTTCGATTGCATTGAATTGTTTTCGGGGCAGGGGAACTGGAGCAGTTGTCACAGACAATGTGGCCTTCGAGTGCATCCTGGCATTGAGCGAACAGCTAAAGGTAGAGGTTACGGTGATCTTTCCAATAATCAGACGTTTCGTGATCTTGCAACTTTAGCTTACAATGGAGCAATAGGTGAATGGCATGCAGCACCCCCGTGCTGGTCCTTTGGCACATTGAGAAGGCCTAGGCTCAGATCCAAATCTGAGCCAGCTGGGTTTGATCTTGACGATGCCTTGACTAAGGAGCAAACTCTGCAGCGTTTCTGCTGACACTGGCTCTTCAAGCAGGAGCCTACGTGTCTTGTGAGCAACCAGGGTCGTCAGTGATGTTCCGGTTAGCTGCCTTTCAGAGATTGCTCGGCTTGGGCTGCGCCATTACTCGGTTCTGCTTCTGTTCTTTTGGATCTGCTTTTCAAAAAGCCAGTCAATGGCTGCGCAACAAGCATTGGTATGTCCCTCTCAGTGGTAAATGTTCTTGCAACTATAAGGGGAGGCGCTTCACCGTTGAGGGTTCGTTCACTAAAGCATCAATCCCTGTTTTCCTTTCCCGCTGCAAGCGAAATTGCAAGACGGTGTACGGAAAGCTTCCGACCCCAGGAGAAGCAGTCAGTGCGTATTCTGCAAGTTACCCCCTCCCACTTTGTCAGGTGATGGCAGCTGGGAGTTTAGCAGAGCACCGATCTTCGACGAAGCGGAAGCTGGAGCACCGTGTGGCAGATGCTGCAGAAGATTCTTGTGACTTAGGCACACGGTGGGACAGGGCTTGGCATGACGACCCAGAGTGGGTCGAGGACCTATGTGAGTGTCTTCCTTACAAGGAGTTGTTTCGATACAAATTCCGACGTTCCGGTCATATCAATTGTTTGGAATGCAGAACTTACAAGAGTTGGATCAAATCACTTTCAAAAGTTTGCTACAACCGTCGTCTTGTTGCATTGTTAGATAGCAGGGTCACCATGGGGGCAGTGGCCAAGGGCCGCAGCAGTAGCAAAGCATTGAGCAGGATTTTGAGAAGCACACTTCCCTATCTGATTGGGAGCGGTTTGTACCCGGGCACATTGCATTGCAGGTCTGCATGGAATCGGGCCGACGGGCCGTCAAGGGATGGCCCGGTTCCTCCTCCGAGTCGACCTGTCCCTGTTTGGTTGAAAGCATTGTTTGACGGCGACACAGCACCTTTGACATCATGTTGACATCAGCAGGATGGATTCGGCTGTTGGGAGGTGGTATCGCCTCCTCTGGCAGGAGACATCGAACAGAATCCTGGGCCTAAACAGTTTTCCAGCTATGAGCCCAGAGGGGATTTGAATATGATGGGCGGGTTTGCGCAGGCGACCTCTGTTCGAATGCAGAAATGCTTGGAGGCCTTCGGGCTTTGGTGTTCTACTGAAGCCCATGTGACGCTGGACGAAATTCTAAGTACTGCTGAGCTTGCAAACTTGGGTCTTAAGGGCTATGGGCTTGCATTGTTCAAGCAGGGAGCTCCACGATATTGGCTAGTTTACGCCATTACAGCAGTGCAACAGTTGCGTCCAGAGTTTAGATCATGTCTAAGTGGCGCTTGGGCTGTTGACAAGAAGCGGCAACTAGAGGAGCCTGGCCAATGCCGGGCCGTTCTTTCAGCTCCTGTTTTGCGTGCAGTACTTTGTTTGTCCCTGCTGTGTGGGTGGTGGTCGTTTGCTGCGATCACCGCACTCGGGTTTGGCGGAATGTTGCACCCCAACGAATTGCTTCAACTGACACGGAGGGACTTGATCTTCCCCCCTGATTCCATGCTGGAGACACGTTCGTTGTACATTTTTGTCAAAAACCCTAAAACCTCACGCTTCGCTCGAAAACAACACGTTAGAGTCGATGATGATTCTTTGAGTTTTCTTGCTTGGTGCGTGTTTGGCCTTCAAGCATTGGACACAAAATTGTTTCCAGCATCAACCGCTGCGTACAGGCGGCAGTGGAACAGTGTTATGGATCGCTTGCAGATCCCCCGACGCCAGGCGGAAGGAGGAGCTACACCTGGAATGCTCCGTGGCTCAGGAGCTACCCATGAATATTTGCAGTGCGGCAACATTAGTCAGATTCAATGGAAAGGAAGTTGGAATAGATTAAAGACTCTTGAACACTATATTCAGGAAGTTGCTGCTCAGCTGTTTTTATTCAACTTGAGCCCGGTAGCTAGGCAAAAGATCAGTTCATTAAGCAGTTGTTTGCCTTTGGTGTTGGAAGATCTCTTCCCTCAAGATTACAACGGTTTTGCGAAGCAGGATGAAAGGGGTGGAATGGCTATACTGCTGGTTTAGATGACTTCTTCGTTCAAGACGATGT